TACAGTCTTTCACCTCTTGCAATTTGTATTTAAAATACCAGTAAGGCAGAGGGGCCTAGTGATGCTGACCTGTAACCCAGCACTTGAGAGACCAGGTTAAGAGCTGCGAATTCATGGCCACCCTGAGCTACATAGGGAGATCCTGTCTCAACATGCCTAAATAAATAAACAAGAACAAAGAAAGATGACTAATTTCTTAATTAGTGAGAAGAAACTGGCATAGCCAGGGTACAAAAAGCCCGTTCACTGCTTGAAACTGCTTTGGCAGAGATCAGCATGCATTGTTGATCTTCTGATATAGAACAAGAGCGAAGAGCACTCGGGCTGCAACCGGCAGAGAGGCCTTGCTCCAGTTCCTTACAATTTAAAGGATTCCTTTTTTTTTTTTTTAAATCAAGTCCTGTTCCACAGAAGCCATAAAGATGTCAGTGTTAGTGCTCATTGGTGGAATCCCTGGTCAGAGGGCCGGCAGTCCGTCGGGGAAGCCTGCCGATTGGTGAGCTGCCTTATGAAGCTTGTTGTCCATTGGCCGAGTCCCTGGAGCGTGAGTTACCGACCACAGAGGCCCGCGCCGCCGTTCCCATGGCAACCAAGGCTTGGAAGAGCAACTCAAACGGGAGCCGCCCCCAGCTCCTTAATCTGGGGGGCAGGGCGGCCTGGAGGAGAGCACAGGGGCCCCGCGTCGAGGGGAGAAGGGACACGCACCGCCACCTGGAGGGAACCTGGGCGAGCCACTCTCACAGAAAACTGACCTGTAATTCCACCTTCTCCTGACCTCCTTGAGTGGGCAGCATTTTGAACCCAGAGCCTGGCTGGCACAGACTAGCCCCCAGTACTCCATTTGAAAAAAAGATGGAAGCAGGAGAGGCTGTGAGGCCAGTTCCTGCCCTTGTGGGGTCCTAGAGTCAGGGTTATGACAACCTTAGACAATACACGCTTGCTTAGGTGTGGTGGAGCGATGAGGAATGGATGATTTGCTGTGTGTGTGCGGAAGTCTGAAAGCCACTGCTGTATGGCTCTGGGAGGTTGAGGGCAGTGTCACTCACCGGCCCACTGCATACCTCCTCTTAGACATCTATCCATTCTGTGACAGCATTCCTGCCTAAACGGAAGGAATGAATTTATTTTAGCTCACAGTTTCCTTCCGTCCATCTTGGTGGGGAGGGCAGGATAGACAAAGCGACCTACACAACAGTGCCCAGGAGGCAGAGAAAGAAGCCTATGGTGGTTTTCACTATTTTATTTGACAATCTCATTCTTAGTCCAGGCTAGCCTCAAACTTTTGGTAGGCCTCCTGCCTCAGCCTCCAAACTGTTGGGATTACAAACATGAGAAACTACATCCAGGTTCCTAAATCTCTTGGATTGTGGATGTGCACTTGCATAAGCCGGAGTATAACATTGGGTGTTGTTCCTAGGTGCCAAAGTGTTTCTGGGTTTTTGTTTGTCTTTGAGACACTGTCACTCACTGGCCTATAGTTTACCAAATAGGTTGAACTGGCTGGCTCTGAGCACCAGGGATCTGCCTGTCTCCGTCTCTGCAATACTAAGCACCACATCTGGCTTTAAAAAAAAAAAAAAAAAGAAAGAAAAAGGCTCTGCTGATTGAATTCAGGTCTTCATGTTTGTATGGCTTGCACTTCCCACCAGGTAAACTGAACCCAGCTTCTAGTGGACTTTTCAGGTTTTTCTTTTTTTTTTTTTTTTTTCTCTTTAGTGGGTTCTTTGCTCATTCCTGGGTTTGGAGTTGTAGCTCAGTGGTAGAGGGTCTGCTTAACCTGTGTGTTCAAGCCTCACTATTATAATAAAAATATCCCAAATCCAAACAAGAATATACCCCCATATTACATTACCTCCTTGCCTAACAATTCTTTGTTGACTCATCTTAAGACTTAAATTTGCGTGCTCTCTCTCTCTCTCTCTCTCTCTCTCTCTCTCTCTCTCTCTCTGATTTTGACTTGTAGCTGAGGGTGGCTTCAAACCTGCCACCCTCCCACTTCAGCCACTGGAGTGCTGAAATGATAGGCGTGAACCACCTTGAAATTGAGTCTGTTGCCCAGGCTGGTCTTGATTTCATTATATCTAAAAATTTGAGGTTGGCCTCCAATTGTGATCCTCCTGGCTCAGCTTCCCAAGTGCAAGTGCTAGGATTACAGGAGTGCATCACCTTGGACCCACCTGACAGGAATGAAGATATTCTAAAGAGATACTAGTGACCTTTCTTTGGTTATGAGGTTATCAACACAGTGAAATCTAAAAAATCTCTGTTTCCTCAGGAATTTTATGATGGAAATAGAAAATTACTGGCCAGTGGAAACAGCCAGATGGGGAGCTTGTCTTCAGGACAGAGATCTCAGTCTTGACAACTTGTCAGAGTATCTTGTGAGACCCATTGGAGCACAGAGCAACACCATTGCATGGCCAGGACTACTCAGTTATGCTAACTTCTATTGAAACATGAAACTAAGACACCCAAGATGGACCTGAACATCTGTGTTCCTCTTTCCAAAGTGGCCACATTGAATAAATCTCTTTTCTCTATTTTTTTTTTCTTTCTAGTTTTTCCTGACAGGGTTTCTCTCTCACTGTAGTCCTGGCTGCCCTGGCACTCGCTCTCTAGACCAGGTTGGCCTCAAATTCACAGAGATCCTCCTGCATCTGCCTCCCAAGTGCTGGGATTAAAGGTGTATGCCACTACAGTCTGGCAGGTTATTAAACTGCCCTATGCTGGATGATTGGCTAATCTCTGCCTGTTATGGCCGCCAGGGTCTGGGCTCTGACCCTCATGTGGCAGGGATGGGATTCTGACTTCTGCCATCCTACCAGTGGTATTGGCAATGGGTGCTTCATCTCAGCAGCCTATCCTTGAGTGTTACTTCAGCATTGTGCCCTCAAGCTTCCATTAGTGACCCCTGTCTCCTGTGTGAGAACTGGCAGTTCAGCTCTGTAGTGATTTAGACATCACTGCTACCACCCAGCTCCAGGCCCAGCCATTTTTAAAACCTTCAAAGGTGTGAACACACAGCTGGGCTGGTGCACTCACTGGGTTTCACTCTGTTGTTCTTTTGTCTAGGTCAGCACTCTAGCTTCTTGTCTTTTCCATGTTACTGAAGGGCTTTTCTGTTTGTTCTGAAGACAGGGTCTCTCTATGTAGCTCTGGCTGTCCTGGAACTCACTATTTGTAGAACGACTAGCCTCTGTTTCCCCAAGTGCTGGGATTAAAGGCACAGGCCACACTACACATAGCCTGTTTCCCTGTTCAATAGGGACTTCATCCTGTATGTATTATCAGTTTGTATGACTAGATCACTGCTGAGTTCCAGATACTTCCAAAGGGGCCTTTTATGAACGTTTAAGTGGACAGAATGAAGGTCTGACCAGAAGCCCTGAAACAAAAAACATTGTTCTTAGATACAATCTACTAGCCCTGTCATCTCCAGGCTTTGTCTCTGGCCACATCTGCAACCCTTAGTTGGTCTGAATTCTGTCAGTACCTCAGGCATGGTAAGTAAGCAGTTTCTCTGAGCTATCTTCCCGGCATACAGCGTGCCTATCTCTTTGCTCTCTGAGAGCTCAGGCTATTGAGTTTCTCTTCCCAAGCACCCCCCCCCCCTTTTTTTTCTTCCTCGTAGTTTGGGTCTCAGTCAAGACCTTGCTTCATCTAGGTAAGACATTTATTTGCTTCAGAGAATTCTAGATAGATGGGCTTGTTTTGTTTGCCACAGCTCAAGTGTCTTAAGATAGTGGACGTGAGCTGATGGCCTGATTACCCGTCCCCCATCCCCGCTGCAGCTCTATCTGGCGGATGGCGGCTCTGCACCACGTTGGGCCTGTTTGTAGCAGGGACAGGCTCTGAAAAGCTGAGCAAAGGCACTGGTCAGGCGGCTTCCCTGAGGAATTGCAGCTCAGGGGCTGCGCTCTGATCGGGAGGAAGCTGGGGGAGGTTTTGTGTGTTCCAGCCCTGGCCCGCCTGCAGAAGGCCCTGGCATGCATCCCGAGGGGGATGGGCAGGGAAGCTGTTTCTTCCTCAGGGTTCCAGCGGGTGGGGGAGGGGTGTGGAGCAAAGCCTCCTTCAAACACCAGCTCCTAGTCACACTGCCTGCTGTGAGGAAGGGGGTGGGGAGCTTGCTGAAAGCCAGCTTTCTCTGGGATGCCTCTAGCTCCTCAAAGGCAGAGAGAAGATGGGAGAAGAAGAAGGGGGGGGGAAGTCACTCGGAAGGGGTGAGTCTGACGGCTTTTCAAACCACGGCCGAGCTGGTTAAGATGAATTCCCAAGACCCTCCTAGGTCCCAGCTTCAGATCAGCTCCACAAAATCCTCATGTTGCCAACTCTGAGAATCTGTATGCTGGTAACTTTATCTTGTTACCCGAAGACCTTCAGAACGCTTCAAAGCAAAAAGTTTTTCATGGGGTTAGCAGCAGCAGAGCACTGGATACGGGTCCAGAGACCTGACTTGTATTTTGCCCCACATGCCAACCTCAACCTCACGTTTTTCTGGTGGTGCTACACACACACACACACACACACACACACACACACACACACACACACACAAATATGTTCCCCATAATCTCAGTGCACCTGGGAAATTTAGTCAGGACTGAGAGTTCCAAGGCAGCTATAATGTTGCCTTTAGAAAACAAAACACACCCAGGCATGGTGGTCTATGTCCTTAACCCCAGCATTCACAAGGCATTGGCAGGGAGATCTCTGAGTTCAAGGCCAGCCTGGTCTATATAGCATGTTCCAGGACAGCCAGGGCTACACAGAGAAACCCTGTCTCAAAAAACAAGCAAACAAAACCACAAAAACCCCCCAAAAGTCCATAAGCCCGAAATGCTCAGACAAAATAGTTTTAGTAGTAAGTTGAGCAGTGCAATGCACTGGGTTACCTAGGTAACTGCAGAAGACCTGGCTACCGTGGCCTGCAGGGAAAAGACATAACTAGTAAGGAGGGTCTGCAACTTCATCTAACACTCCAGAAAGAAATACACTGTCAGTAATACAAAAGATAAATATTTATTCAGAACAAATCTGAACAATTGGTTTTACATTCTAAGCCATAAGGAAATAGCAAAACAGCAAAGAGAAGACAAAAACTGAAGAAATGCAGTTTACTGTCTTTCACTTTAAATTGGTAACACTTGGTTGACCCAGGCCCTCTGTTTTGGCCTGTTTCCCCAAGAACACTTTTGAGTTTACAGTTCACTCATGATTCTGGGTTAAAATCACCTTTCTCCTGAGGATCAGAGGTTGAAGGTTTGGGATGAGCTCTCTCTAGGGTTCCTAGTAGCTGAGGCAGAGGTGCAAATGTAAACAAGTTTCTGGCAAGTTTCTTTACTGAGGGGAACCATTTCTCACTGATTACAGTGGCAGTGGGAGGGGAAGGCCATGGAACAGCTTCAATGTGGTACTCCCAAGGACTGATGCACAAAGCACAGAGTGTGTTCGATGGTCCTTTTTCCTAGCTCCCTGGTACTATCAAGCGGCAAGACAAGCTTTCTCTTTCTGCTTTCAGGGGATGGCTTCTCAGCTTTATGCTGGGATTATCACCACGGAGGGAGCAGACGGACTTCCTTGGCCCACTGGCGTCGAGGAGACTGTTGTGAAGTGTGAGAGGTAGTGGGATGAGCACCAGGCTGGGGGGCAGGGGACTCTACTATGGACGTCTGAGGCACCACACAGCTGTGTACTTTGACCCAGTCATGTAACTTCTCTGGGTTGTTTCATCTGCTGGAAAACCAAGGAATTCGTTTAAAACACCCTTCAGGGAGGCAGAGGTGAGAGGATCACTGTAAGTTTGAAGCCAGACTGGTCTACCCATGTAGCCAGTTCCAAGCCAGTCAGGGCTACATAAGGAGACCCTGTCTCAAACCAAAACAGAAAACAAAAGCAACCTCCCACATAGAAAATCCAACAAAAACCACCTCCTGGGTCTTTTCCAGCAGGACTGCATAGGTTCCACGCTCCTACAGAAGGGCTTCTGAGTCACCACAAGGAGCTGTCACAAAGTAATACATTTTTATGCTAGGAGAGGCCCTTGGCCACCATTCAGAGCTTATTCAGATCACACACTTCTACCAACACTGTTTTCACAAATTCTCATAGCACATAGAAGCAGCAAATGAAAGGAGTCCAGCGGAGAGCTGCAAAACGTAGGCACTTTTGACATAAACCAGTCAACGTTTGTGATTCAATAAACACTTGGTGGAGTGTGTATCCCGCGTTGGGCCCTGTACCCGCGGCTGAGGCACAAAGGTGAGCAAGGCAGCCCAAAGGGCAAAAATCTTCTACGGAGGCAATGTGTGAGGAGGGAGGGAGGGAGGTAGTAAAAAGTACAAAGTGGACGACCGGGGTGTCGACCAATGTACCCAACATATCCAAGATGGGAGGAAAAAAGGGGGGACAAGCGACCGACCTATCTGCACGCTGCAGTTCCTGGCAAAATTCACCATTTCGAACAGGTAGAAAAAGGAGCACACGTGGTTTTAAAAAGGCAACAAGAGAGAATGTCTGTTAGGTTTTAGAAATATCTCCTTCCAAAAGGATAAAAAGACAAAAAAAAAAAAAAAAAACCAAAAAACTGGCACTTAGGAAGAGTAAGCTGGCTGTGTGTTCACCCACCCGAGCAGGCAGACGCGCGTTCAGTGCCCCGCCACGCCGGTGAGCTGAGCTGCCACGGAATTGTGAACCGCTTTGGGACACTGGGCAAAGGCGTGCCCTCTCTTGCCACAGAGGTTGCACACGATGACCTTCCGGCAGTAAGGGCTCAGGTGCCCCTCCTCCCCGCACCTGAAACACCTGTCCTGCGTGCAGGTGCCGCTCATGTGGGTCCGGGAACCACATTTAAAGCACGTCTTGGGCTGCCCCTTGTACCAACTGTAGCCCCTCTCGGCTCCCAAGAAGAAGGCCCCGGGCAGGTGCCTCACTCCGCCCTCCCCCTGGCGCAGCTCGATCTCGCACTTGTACTCCCCGGTCCAGATCCCAAACCTGTCGGTCACTTTCACGGGCACGGCCAGCACGTCGCAGTGGCGCTTGAGCCAGGTCACGATGTCCTCCACGTCCACGGTCTCGTTCCGGAAGAGGATGAAGAGGGTCTTCAAGCTGGACTTGCTGCGCCCCAACACCACGAAGTTCTCCCAGCAGTCCTCCAGCTCCCGCTTTTCCTCGTACACGCGCAGGAAGAGGGCCAGCTTGTCCGCGGATCGGAAGCTCACGTCGAACTCGCGGC